TTGTCTTCCACAGCTCGTATTTGAAATAGCTTATACCAACCCTATAGTTCTATTTACTTGCTAGTTAGTTGTTGTCAAAAGCAAAATAAGCATATGTTTAAGATCTCAAGGAATGAGGGCACAATGAAAAGGTGCTTTGGGACTCTAGGAAAGGGCACACCGCAAAAATTTTCCACTTCCAGTTTTACCATGTAACAGCTAAACCAAGACTGAGAGTGAAGAAATGCGGAAAAGACGGATATTATTCTGTAAATCATATATTCCAAACCTTTTTCTTCTACTGACCTCTTTTCTTTATTGACCTCCTTTCATTTTTCTGTATAATATACAGCACATAGCATAAATAATTATGCATAAACAACTTAAAGATAATAATTAGACTAAATATGAACAAAGTTTTGAAAAAAAGGGTTTATTACAATTATTAATTTTACAAATATAAACAAGTTCTCAGAAACAAAATCACAGATTCTAATTGCACAAAAGTTCAATTTTGATGAATGTAATGGCTGTGCTTCATGCACTAAAACATTTTTTTTACACTTCAGAATAAAATTGCTTAATTTATTTTTTAAATCACTTCATTCAAAAATATTCAACTATTTCTTGTTTTCCATTATATAGTTTAAAAAATGTTAATTGGTTTATAGAGTTTATTAAATAATTTGTGTGTATTAAGTTCTCCCTTTCTACATGATACAGATTTATATCAATAAGGAATTAATTATGAATTTTTTAATCAGTGGGATTCTAATCAATTTAGCGGTGCATATTCAACTGTTGATCCCTTCATTATCATTGATTCCTTTAAAATTTCTTCAACACCGACTTCATTGGAAAGCCCAGCAGTAAATGTATATGGTTCTACCAAAAATCATTTAAGTGATTAGAGATTGTTCTCTTTAGAAATGTATATGTTCTGTCACTGCTGCTTTTAGAAGTGTAATTATTCTTGAAAAATGAAGAATTTTTTAGATGTCAGAATGCAGTTTTAATAATACTGCAATTATGTATGTCATTAGTGAACCATGTTTCTAATTAAGAACTCCCCAAAGCAGCACAGTGCACGAGCAGAGTTTGATTGTTCTTCTTCGAGTCTTAAATGAGCTGGAATGGCCCATGTGCCTGAGGCTTTGGACCAAAGTTTCATCAGCTGTTGCCCCTAATCAGATTCATTCTAATTTTCATTGTGAATACTCTGGGGGGGATATCCAACCTTTTCTTCTACCATTATAGCCTCTCAAAGGGACCTTTGGATCGACACTGTTTAAAGTACCTCCATGCTGAAAGATACTATACATTTACTGACATTCATGCCTTCTCTGAAATTTGAACCTAATCCAATAGCAGTTGGCACCACACCATTCAAGTTGGCCTAAATCTTATTATTCTCTGCTCATGCATTTCAGGTTATTATCTTATCAAAATCCAGGCCCCTTTCCATTCATTATTGAAATGTTCTTAACCTATGAAGTAAATATCTTTACTATGTCATTGAAATATGTCACAATGTTTATTTTAGAATAGTGATTATTTTAAAGTTATTTAAATTGTTTTTTAAATTATAATTAATCATATAATATATTTATATTCATATTTTTAATTTTTATGCACTTCTCTGCCTCTCTCTCTCTCTTTTTTTTTTTTTTTTTTTTTTTTTTTTTTTTAATAGCAGAAGTCTAATAATTTGCCTGCTGAAACCCCAGAAGAAGATAAAGGTAATCTACTGTTTTTCATTATTGTAATAAGAATAATTAATCTGGAACAAAAGTTTTTTTTTAATTTTTGATGGAGATCTTGGCTATTGAAATTTTATTTAGCATTTCTTTTTTCTTATCTCATTCTTGCTTTTATAGGAAGTCTTGTAAAAAAGTTACTTGAAACGAAGAAAGATTTAGAAGGTGGCAGTCAACACACTCCTACCAAAAAAGTGGAAATTGTAAGTTTTAGGAGTTAAAAAAAATTATTCTTCAAAAATTTTTTTTTCTCCTCACAAATGTTGTAGGAGAAATATTATAGCTTCAGTCTTTGCTGTTATAATAGATGTGAAATAGAAAGTCTGTCTTGAAAATGTCAAGTTACTCTGCATGTCTTGGAAATTGACCTCAATATAACATTATTTAATGCAGAACTGGAATAAACTTCATTGCACATTTGTGAATGGTCATTCTGCCTTGTGAGTATTTAATCAAGATACACCATTAGATAAGCCTCTTGCATTGTGCTATTGTCATATCAGTAATGGCTCGGTGAGTAGATCTGTAAGCTTCCAACTGAGCAGTGCTGCTATTTCATGAAGACTTCAGTAAGAGCAACACCCTTGAATGTTTTTTTTTTTTTTTAATTATTAGAATAGTTTTCTGAAATAGATAATGAAATAATAGATAATGAAATAGATAATGAAATGTTTCTGAAATAGATAAAAAAATAGATAATGAAACAAAGTGACTAAGGTGGAAAAAGAAGTGCAGATTTACTAATCTGCTTGCTGTGATTGTGACAATGCTATTCCAATGATGTCTCACATTCAGCGGTATGACTATGCAGATGTGTTTTGTGAAATCGTTTCTGATTCTGCCATGGTTACCAATGCATGTTAATGCTGTGTGATTACAAATCCATAGTAATACATTTTTTAACTTTATTATTAATTATTCTTCATACTTATGCCATATACAATTCAATAGCAAAATTACAAAAAAAAATTAAAAGCAGCATAGCACTGTATGTTTAGAATTCCCAATAGCATTAAATGTTGCCGTACATTTTATGTTTTTTCAGTCTTTCCTTACTTCATCCTATCAATGTTCAGTTTTCTTACTAAGATGGGTTTGCAAAACAGTTTTTTTTTTTTATTATTATTATTATTAACATTTTGTGTGTTTACTTTATTTATTAAATATCACATTCTTAGCACTTGCACCACATAAAATTCAACTTACTCATTGATTCTTCATCTTCCACTGTATTGCTGTACAGCAAAGTGACTTTTTACATCAGTGGTATAAAGTCTTAATTATCTGTGAAATTATGCCAAAGTTATAAGAATGCTTTCTATGCTATTCAAAGTGACTTGAGATAGACTGTGTATATTTTAATATTTATTCTTGGAATCTCTATAGTGGAATACAGGTAATAGTGTGCAATTTTGAGAAAAATATTAGCAAATATTGTTTTCTTTCACCACCTCGTCCATATTGTAACATTGGTTGAACGATTTTGTTGTTGTACAAGGAATTTGCATAATGTGAGTAATTTCAAATGATACAAGTTTAAAAATTTAAAGCAATTTATAATTGTGGAATGAGTCTGCTAAATTTTATTTTAAATCTTTTTAAATATTGTAAATTTCAGATATTTTTAAAATTTTTAGATTCACTCACCCGCCCTCCTTCTTTGTAAAATATTATAAGTGTTGTTATTTGTAAAAGTCAGTTTATATAAAAATTTATTTGACATTTTTAATGTCTTTCTTTTACTATTATTAATACTGATATATTTAGAATACTAATACGTTTAGAATTCCCAGTGCAGCAGTAAGTGTTGGCATGCATTTTTGTTTTTTCAGGCTTTTTCTCAGTTCATCCCATCAGTGTTCAGTTTTTTTATATAAAACTTTTATTCCTTTTTCTTTTTATTATTGTGGTTTTGTGTGTTACTTTTATTTATTAAATATCATGTTCTTTGCCACATAAAATTCATTTCAACACCAATACCACAAAATATTTTAAAAACAGCATATCTTTGGAATTTGCAACAGATAGTCTTGTGCGCTGGTGAAAAATGTTTTCCCCGTACAGTGTTGTTGCCATTGCTCCCTTTGGAATCGTTGAGTTGTTAATAAAAAATTCATTAAAGTTTTACAAAATAAAAAATAGATAATGAAACAAATTTAAAATTCAGTCTTCCAGGTGCCTATGTTCGGGTGGAGGACTACGTTATGCAAAATTCGATGACTCTAGGTACCGTAATTTTTTTACAGTGCGAGATACATGTATACATTTATGCAAATTCTTAATTATTTAATTTCTTTAAATATAATGTAGGGTGATAATATTTTGTGAGAACAATTTGAAAAGCAATACCCCATTTATAGTAATTCAACTCAAAATACTATTCAGGACTAACATTCCTTTCCAGGCTGAAAAACTAAATGTTAGTAAGAAAAGCTTGTCAGTTTTGTGAAATATAATGGTTTATTTCATGTTTTTCTAAGGTTTTGCTGCAGTTTCATGTTTTTTTAAATACCTCCTAGCATACAAGCAGTCAAAAAATCAAAATGTTTCCTAAAAGTAATGAAGAAAGAATAACAGCGTTTGCATCAAAGGGGAAATTTTAAGAACATTCCTTTCTTCTCTAAAATGAGAGTTGAATTTTTTAGGCCTTTTCCAGCAAGAGGTCTACCATTGGTGGCCAGACTATAGTTTCACATTGTGATAAATGTTGATGCTAGGATAAGCAGCACTGTTCTGGCAGAGTTTTTCAAAATTGGATTAACCATTAAGCAAAGTAAGTACATGCTTAGGGTATCAAGGAAAGGAGACACACAAAAAGGTAGTCAAGAAAGGAGTCGCCATAAAAAGATACTCAGGAAATGAGGCACCTTAAAAAGGTACTTAGAACTCGGGAAAGGGGCACCAGAAACATTTCTAAGCCAGTTTTACCGTAGAATGCATCGATGTAAATGTATGATTGGGCATGAAAAATCTTGTAAGTGCTTAGGACCTCTGAAAGTATTAATCTGACCCTGATCCTTTCCATGATCTGTACACCTACAGCATAACAATCAATTTCTTAGATGTAATGTTTGTGGTAATGTTGTGTTCCATGCTTAGCCATAGCATTTGATGTCCAGAATTGCATCAAGGTCTGCAGCAATTAATGCATTTATAGCATTTCTGTTCATTGCTAAAGCAGAAATGTAGTGATTATTTCTTATTGTTATGCTCCTTCTATGGCCACCGACATGCAAACAGAGAGCTGTGCCGTGTTCCTTCTATGAACGTCAACATGCAGACGTACAGCTGTGCCACTTGACATTTGACTTCTAGACATTTTTTCAAGCACAAAATGACATTCATGAGGCATCTGTTGCTACTGCAACTTAAATAAAGCTTTTCCCTGCCTAGAGATGTTTAGCTGCTCATTCATGATCGAACAAGGAGCTAGATAATGAGATTGTACTCGCTCAGCTGATGTCATGGAAGTATTTTGCATCCGATACCCTCTGTAAATAGTACTATTCCTCAGGAAAATTTTCTATATAAATTCTAGAAACTTAAATGAGATTTTAACTGGGTCAATTTGTTTTTTTATTTCATATTAACAGAAATTCACTACTAATTTTGCATGTTCTAAAATTTTCCAGTGCTTTGCTTCCTGATTTTTCTGCTTTTGCTGTGGTTGGGTGGTTAATGGGATGGAAACATTCAGTTTCTTAGATTTTGTTAAAAAAATGTAGAACTTTTATACAATTTGGATACATAATAATTGTAAGAACTAAATTATAGAATGAAGAACTATAATTTTTTAACTATCTTCTCTTTTCTTTTGCATTTCAGAACACTTTATTTTTTAAATGTTAAATAAAATGTGTACTTAAACTTTCTGAATAAGAGAATAGTTTGATGTTGTGGAATTTAAGGGGACAGCATTTCCTGAGATATTGTGTTAAAATTCTAAAATAGTATTGAGAAAAGCCTAAGTTCATTGTATTTAAATAAATAATTTTTTTCTTTCTTTCCAAACAGGATAAATCTCAAATGTCTGAAGCTTCACGAAACCGAGAACGTGACTCTGCATCGAAAGAACTCGGACAGCTTAGAAATTTTGTGCAAGCTTTAAGTAGAAATGCATTTCCTTTAGGAAGAATGCTGGACTTCTTACAAGAAGATTTGGATTCTATGAAAATGGAACTTAAAATGTGTAAGAAAGAACATGAACAAAATTTGATTGCATTACATAAAGAACAAAGGTAAAGTAGCTAATTTGATGTTATAAAGTTTTTATTTTTTAAACGAATTGCATTCAGCCACTTTTTTTTAATCCAAAAGATACATACTTGGCATTTCAGAATAATTTCAGTAATAAAACCAATGTTTCATGGAATACTACAATACCATAGTTGTCAACTTATTTGGGTTTTCATCACATCTTTTGGCCTCTCGGTAGATCACCAAGACTGCGGGTTTTTAATTTTCAGCCTTTACTCAAGAAAATGTTTCTCTGAAATTAATCAAATTAAAATTTTGCAAATTTGATTCCCCTACCCCTTCTGATTTTTAGCACAATTTTTCATATTAAATTTTATTTGATATGAATTATGTCAGTCTGCTGAAGACATCTGTAGAACTTTCAGTGAAGATTCAACAGAGTTTGATCAATTTAATTTTGTTTTAAATGAATATATGGTACATTACTAAGTTTAACTGTACATGTATATTAATTATTTATCTTTTCGTTATATTTCAAAGTACTTTGATAAATAAAATTCTTTCCATACATGGAATTTTCTCAATATGAAAATGACAAAATGGAATTAGCCAGAGAACATAAAATTTAGTAAATACAATTATGTTAATTACATTACGAGAGAATGATATTTATATATAGTTCAATAACCTGAATGACTCATTCTAAATGAAATTTAAATCAGTTTGAAATTTCTTTGAAATGACATCTTCACATTATGTATACACCTCCCAGAAACTTCCATCTTTTGCTCAAGAATTTCCTCTTTTTCTTGTGACAAGGTTAGCAGCTATAATAATGCTACTGCTAGATGACATATGAATTAATTGATAAATGGCTGTCAGTATTTGAGAGAAATCATCTTGCACTGTACAATTTCATGTGTATGGTTGGTTTTGAGTATGCCGTCTTGAGTTTTAGGCAAGATTTAGCTATGGCTCTCGATTCAGTGTTCAAAACTGATATAATAAATTACAGCAACTATTCTTCCTTTGTAAGGGTAAATCTCTGAGTAGGCCTTGGACTTCTGGGGTGAACATGGGAAGAATTTAAAGAGTGTTTTCAATTTAGTCCCTGAGAAGGCTTATTAATTTAATTTTTATTAATCACATCAGTATATAAAATTACATTAGAAAACAAAATGATAAACTAGAGTTAGAAATTATGTGGTATATGTGTGACTGACCAGTTCTGGAAATACCTAGATCTTGAAAAATTTATTTTCACAGCATATGTTGAACATATGAGTCAGTCAGTGGAAACAAATAAACAACAGAGGCAGAAGCTTGAATGAGTTCTAAATCACAGAAACTGATGACCAAGTTCCCCCCCCCTTTTTTTGAGGGGTTGAGGTGTTTTGTTTGCATTAGTCTTTCCAGGCTTCTAAAGTTTTTGTGTTTATGAATTTCTTTTCATAAAAAGTTCCATCCCCCTGTAAGAAGTAAACTACCAAAAAAACGGTAATTGCTCACTTAACTGAAGTGTTTACCTTTCCATTAGATACTTTGTTATGTACAACTGTTTTTCAGTTTTATTCTTCAGGCAGTGGTGGATGTCAGTATTGTTGAAATCATAAAACAGAATAGTAGAAAGATGGGCAATATTGACAGTAAGCAAAGGGGAGGATCAAAATTATAAAATTATAATTAGAATAATAGAATTATAAAAATTATTAAAAAAATAGAATTATAAAATATATTATATTATAATACATTATTAGATATGATACTATTAGATTATATTAGATATATATTAGAATATATTATATTAGATAATTTTAATATATTATATTAGAATTATAAAAAATTCTCATTCTCTATTTTATCATGGAATGTATAGGGCAGCTAAATCAAAACTGAGAGGAGGAATAGGTTAGAAACTAGCATAAATGGCTAGCATAGTGTCATAAACTAGAACTTTAAAGACCTCTGTGTGTCTTAATCCAGACCTGAATGAGCCATATAATAATAAGAATTTGGAAAGCACTTAACCTAAGCAGTTAGGCAACTACCCAATGTTCTGATGTCAGATGTAAGGCATTTAAATGGCTTCCATTGCAGAATATTTAATTATCCACATAAAAAAAATAAAAATAAAAAATAAAAAAAAACTGCAAGGCTGTATGTAGCAGTTAAGGGTTAATGTTCCCAGTATATGTTATGCATACTTTTCAAGATTGATATAATGATACGTAGACATCTTTACAAATTTTGTATTAACTTGTATCTCCACAATAAATACTGTATAACAGCATTAGTATCAATTCATCAATATTATAACTTCAGTGCATTAATACTGATATGTAATATTGTAATAACATTATATAAATGTATATATGTGTGTATGTACTTGTACACTGGTATTGTATAAGTGTTTAAAATTTTGTAACTGTAATTATTTGATGTGTTGTATCATATTGTACACTCTACATGAAAGAAAAAATGGAACAGTTCTGTATCTCCCATTCTATTGTGCTGATTGATGAAATATAACTTACATTTTTCATGGCTTTGTGAGAAACTTACTGAGAAATTTTGAAATATATCTTAGTGCACTTTTTCAGTTTGTGCCAAGAATAATTAATTCTCTTGATCACAATGAAAAACTTTTGTTATATCATCTTTATTTATTACCGTTTCTCCACATTTCTTTACAAAATCCAATAACTGGAAAATTTCACCTTTAGTTTGCAATGTCCGAAAACCTTCAAATTCGCTGCTATCATCTTCATCGTCCTCACCATGAAATATGGTAGCTGGCCATAAATTATGCCAAGCATTTTTTTAACGTATCTAGAGACACATCCTCCCATGATCTTGCAATGCTCCACACCGCAGATTTTATGCTAAAAAGATTTCAAAACGTCTTGAAGAGTTGCCATTGTTCAAGAAATTTTACATAGATTTTAAAAATCCTACTTTATATTTGTGCTCATGCGCTATTCCCATATCCATAGGCTGAATGACAGATGTACGATTTGGAAGAATAATACAGATACATTATCTTTCACTAAAACTTTTAAGTGAAGTATGCGCCGAACAGTTGTCAACAATCAGGACTATTTTTAAGTCATCAGGTAAACCAACTGAATTCAAATGTCGCCGATCTTGGGTATAAAATGATTTTCAAACTAATCGTTCATCAATGCTCTTTTATTTGCGCGATATATAACGGAGGAAATCGTTACTCCTTAAATGTTCAAAGTCGTGCACGTTTTCCGATTACGAAAAGTTTTGACTTGTGTGTTCCTACAGCATTTGCGCACGCTAAAATTGTTAGTCTCTCGCTTTGGAATCTTTGACACCAGTTGGAGCCTTTTCTGTAGAGGTTGCCAAGGTATTTCGCAGTACATATTGCAAGAAAAGATCAGTTTCATCAGCACTGTAAATTTGTTCTGGAGATAATTGTTCACTAGTAATGAGTTCAATGAATTCATCTGCAAATTGTTCAGGAGCTTCAGTATCAGCTGAAGCTTTTTCACCTGAAATTTTTGTGTTATCCCATGGTGATTTTTAAATTTGGTTAACCAACCTGTCGAATATGTGCACTCAGTGTTTAAGTTCATTTTTTCATGAAAAAGTTTGGCTTGAGCCATCAGCATTGGACCTGTCAATGGCACGCCCTTGCTGTGACGCTGTCTGACCCATTCAATCATCACTTTGTCATGATCGTCACTTTTAGCATAATGAACCCTTTTTCTGTTATTCATTGCAAGTGGGGTGTTGGAATCCAAAAAAAATTCAAAAAGTTTCTTTTTCTTTTTGCTTATGTCATATACTTTCCTCGCATAACCTCGCATGTCATACTCCTCGCGTAATTTTGAGATGGATTTGCCTTTATCCATTTTTTGCAGTAATTCCACTTTTTGTTTGATGGACATCGAAACATGCTTTTGCTTTGTAGATCCTTTGGCAGCTCCAGAATTGAATACTCTTTTTGGCATAATCGAAAGTTCAAGCTTAATTTTTATAAAATTGCTCTAACAGTCTGTGAAAAATAATAAGTCGGATCCAATTAGAAGATTAAGGAACAGCGCAATCTGCAACATTAACTGAAATGCCTTAGAATCAGTAAAGATAATTTTAGTCTAGCTTATACTGTCCATTATACATTAAACGTGCATGCATAAACTCATTACACGCATACGTAAAGCATACAAAAAAATGTTTGTCGCTTTGAGGTCCGGATTATAGATAATTCTGGATAATGGACCTCCAGATTATGGACTTTGTACTGTATATCTTTTGTGATTTCAAGACATGAAAAATACAAGTTAAATTTTATCAATCGGCCCAGTAGAATGGAAAATTTTAGAACCGTCCCCCCCCCTTTTTTTCTTTGTGCAGAGCAGATGATTGTGTTTATATATGTGCATTGATTACTTAGTTTATTTAGATATATCAATTATCATCACAGGATTTGCATCAGTTTGTGACAGTAATATTGTAACGATATATATATATATGTATCTGTATCAGTATGTCTGTCACTTATAAAATTATCAGAAATCTCAAGAAAAACAGATCCATTTTACTGAAACAATAACATGCCCTCTTCTTGGCTGTCTCATCGAACAGCTGAACATTCACAATAAAGCAGTTTAATAGCTTGGCTGACTTCTCTTCCATTGCCCTTTCCTTTGATGGCAGCTTTAAAAGCTACATGCCCCTGGACATATGTTTGTATTTAGAATCACTGGCAGGGCTTAAACAGGCTGATAAGCTTTCTTCCCAAGTAGAACCCAATCAATATATGTGTTAGTGTCGGCCTGTTGCCGTAGCAGTAGATGAACCAGTTGTAGTCTTGGGCCTGGGTTCAAATCCTGAAGGCATGGAGATTTGTAAATGTATATTATCTTGCAGCATGGGAGCATCTGAAAAGCTTTCAAGCCAAAAGTACTCTGGACAGGTCAGTGATAGGCAAAGGGGGGTGGGAGACTCTCAGTTCTATCCTTTGGGGTATTCACCATCAAAATTGGGTCATAAACCAAACCCAGTAGCAGGGGCTCATTAAATCAGTGTGCTAAGTCAACTGGCCTCCCTGCTGTTTTGCAAAAGTGTATTATCCATTTTTATTATTTACAGAAAAATATATATATTGTTAAAATTTGGGTATTTGTTTGATATCAGTTGTACTATTTTTACTATTGATAGTACTACCGAGTCACTGTTGGAACCACTCAGAGCACAGCTGGATGATCTAGATCAAGTTGTTCAAAATCAGCTGGATGCCAACAGCGCCTTGAAGTCATCCATCGCTAGAAATGATGAACGAATACAGAGGATGTTGGCCTCCGTCAACCATAAGTCGTGACTGCTCAGCTCTGGTGCAGATCTTTCATCCTGGCTGCAAAAACTTCCTTGCAGCATTCTGCACATTAGTCTCTTGTGCCTGAAAATATTTGGTGATGCTTTATATGTATGTACATATATACACATATGCATAAGTTATTTTAAATATTCAGTAACACATTTTTTAAAATGTGATTCTGTTTTAAAGAAAACCTACTTAAACAGTAGTGATTTCAGTTTGCTTAGAAATTTTATTTATGCATTTGTTGAAGCCTTGTCCAGAATGCTTTTACTGCAGGTGAGAAATGTTCGTAATTTTTTTTCTTCTTTTATGTCCACTACCACAACGCTGCCTCAGAAACATATGCCTGTGTACTGGTAACCGTCCATTGTTGATAGGGATGGAAATCCCTTTTCTTTAAACAGTACACTGAATTGCATATCTAGTCAATGCTCACTGTTGAAGGATAAATGTAGGTGTGCTGTATTTATTGTTGAAAGGTTTAATCAAGCCACCATTCAAAATATATTGTCTAGATGTAGTCAGTCACAGGATATTTTAATTGATTTACTGTTTCTTCTGTGGTCACTTAAGGCGGCAAATTTTGGAATATTTTCTGATTTAATTTATGTAGAGGTACGTTCAACCAGTTACATTATTTTGAGGTTTTAAATTTACTGTGTAAACCATTCAATTTTGAGCAGCTTGTCATGTACTGTACGAATGTTCTGAACCTTTAATTATTTTTATATGAAATGTACTGTTCTATAAAATAAGGTGTTGATAAAATTTATATATTTTTACCTGAAATGTATTTATCAATTAAATTTAGTATCTGAAATGTATTATTCAAAAACTGAGCATTAAATTCATATGATTAGTATCTAATAATATCTCTTAGCTTTTTTCTTTTGAAGCAGGTGTATAAAGTTACAAATAAAACACAAGCATACAAAATGAAATGTATAACAGTGTTTTAATCTGAGTTAATATGAGAATTTTAAGCATATTCTCTTCCCCACATACACACACACTCAGCTCTAATGCTCGTTTGGAAATTTTTTGGATTCATAATTCAGAGCAGATTTAATTAAGGTTCTCAGTGTTCTGGAACTTAAAACTGGTTATTTTGAAACTTCCATCTATGCATTCTGTAATTTTCCTTATTGCTTACTTGTGCCATCCGTTAAAGAGAAATTAAGTGCATAACTTTAGAGATTATTTGGCAAGCATTTTTCTTTGCTTTCTAAGCAGTTTATAAACGGATTCCAAATTTATATTTTAGGTTATTATAAAAGTCAGTTTTATAGTAACTAGATAAAAAAATTTTATCTGGGTCAATGTTATTTGCGAGATGATTATTTCTAATTAATTTCATTTGTCATACAACATACAAAGCAATTTCCCCCCTTTTACTGTTAGTGTTCCTGGCTCCAGCATTTTAGGTGCTCTAGCAATCAGTACAATTGCTACCCATGTAAATTATGCACATTAATTTGATAATCCATAATATACTTTTATTTAGTTAATTAAAAATATGCCTTTCTTAATATTGGCAATCTATTATAAATGCAACCTATCATAAATCTGTTTACCTATGGTAAGGCTCAATTGTTAATATCGTATTCTTGAGCAACATGCAGTAATTCTTGAGCAATATCATTTTTTATTTATCCAAATGCGGGAGAACTCAATTTTTCTTCACTTAAACATGACCTCTAATAAGTCCTTATCTGTTTCAACTTGGGAAAGTCCCTCTCTATTGCAGCTAATAATAATGGAATTATGTCCGCCCCCCCCCAAAAAAATTGCATGTTGTTCTGTGCATTGAGATAAAGTATCTTCTAAAGAGTATACATATAATGTGGGAAGCAAATCCTTTAAATATTATTATGATTTGTATTTAAAAAAAACTGTGAATTTTCGTAAGTTTCTGCTGATCAATTCTTGTCTAACTTGAAGATTATTAAAAATAAAATCATCAGTTTATGCTCACCACATAAGTTGCTCATATTATTATAAAAACAACTGAGCAGCTTGATATGATAAACTATCTTGGAAGTGTTAGATCTGTAAATGGATTGAAGAAATAGTTTTAGAACTTCTTTTCTATATCTATTAGAGCTTTGTCATAATGTTTATAATTGAACCTTCATTTCTTTCACTGGATGTTGGTATTTAAAGTACAGGTTCAACATCTAACATTTCTGCCAAATCTCGAGCTCTAACTATACTGCTTTCTTATGATGAGTAACATATCCCATCCACTGTTCCTATGGTGCCCTCTAATTATACAATGATGCTAGTCTAGATGCCCTCCAAAAATCAGCATCTTAGGTGGCTACATTGCCTTGGAGCCAGTTTTTTTTATTATTATTATTTTATTTTATTTATTTATTTTAACTAGTGGCAAAGTTGGGGTATTGCTGTAGGTCAACTGTAGAGTGTATTATTAACTTCAGAAAAGAGCCTGTATTTTTTGGATGTTTGTCGTGTTATAATTTCATCACCAAAGATTTACCAAATATGTATTATTTGTTGATTTGCATAATTTGTTGTTGTTTATTTATGCATAAATTATTTATGATAAAGTCTCTCGTTGTTGTATAGATAACTTAAAATTTGCAACTGTGATATGTTTTATTGAAAATATTCATTACTGTGAATCTGGGTTGTTTAACCCTCTAATTAAAACAGGTTGATTTTTATATGAATTATGTCACTGCACAGTGTGATTCTCTATTGCTTTCCATTTAAGTTTCATGTAATTTGTACAGCTTCAGAATTTCTGTAAAAAAAAAAAAAAAAAAAAAAGTTTTGTCAGATGTAAGTTTTATAAATAAATGCAATGCAAATAATGGACTGAATTTTATGCTGTTGATGAAACTAAAAGTTATATCTATTACTGCATTTTTCAAAATATTACATTTATTCACATAAAAAGATATTTATCTTTTGCATAAATTGCCATATGACCTAACATATGACCTAAACCTGAAAGCCAAAAACTACTTGGTAATTAATGATTATGATATCACACACTTAAGTAAAATACTTTCAATTCATTCTGTTTGAGCGGAATTGATTCTTAAAATGACTTGTTTCAGCATACAGAAGGCATATGCAGAAGAATAGTCCAGTTTTAACCCTTTTCGGTGCAGTGTGTTCGGTGTGAACATGCCAAAAATATTCCCTCTTTAGACACTGAAAATAATCGATAAATATGACGAAAACTACACTAATGGTTACTTTTAATCTCTTTCATGAATAATAGATGGCAGCACCACACAAGCAAATCATTAGTGTTGAGATATATTGTTTTTAAAGACGCTGATTTTTCAAAGAAATGTTTCAGATTTTTTTTAATATAAAAAATATCAATGAAAAAAAAGATATTTATATAATTTTGTTGTTCATATGCTAATCTGCCCATTCTGTATTACTTCAAATTTTTATCTTTGAAATATTGTGTATAGTGAAGTCTTCAGTGTATGGTGTGTTCGGACTGAGAACGCTGTACTGGTAGCGCCTGTCACGTGAAAGTGGCTCAAAGAATCTGGTCACGTGCTTCAAACACGGGGAAGGCTCAGAGCGTAGATTTATTTATATTTGTTGTTATTCTTTCCTGTTTTTGGTTTTAAAGATCCCGGTGCTTTGTTTTCACTTAGCTATTTGATTTTCAGCAAGAGCAGACCCTTCTTTTATCTTGCTTTCATCGTGCGTAGTTTGCATAGTTTTAATTTCTGTAGATTTTTATTTGTATATATATTTAATAATTATTTTTTTCTAGTCAGTAACTAATTTTAAATATTATAGTATTTTAATTATGTTTCTTAAAATTTTTAAATTGTGTAAATGGCTTGGAAAGGCCTCAGCATTGCCAAAATAATGAGAGTTTCCTTTTTTCCCCGTATTTTTTGGGGGAAAGTAGAGTAGCAGGCTTCCCCGTGGTGCTAAGTTGAATTATGCTAAATCTGCTATTGAGATCAGATTCTACTGTTTTAAATCATAGACGAAATAGTTTCTGTAATACATGCTTCACAGCAATGCTCACCTATCGCAGCTCGTGCGGCTCAGTGTGTTCGCTTTGGACGTACCCACAAAATGAAAACGGTTTTGTGCAATCTTAGTAAAATTATACCTGCATACTCTCCTAGGCCTAAATAGACTGCCTACAAATTTTTTTGGTAAAATTCCAACTTTAAAGAGTAGCGTGCCAGAAAGGGTTAAATGTTAATAACAAATTTCATTTTCACCTAGCATTCACACAAACCCATATAAGCAACAGCAGTACTAGTTTCTTATCACCCAGATGGAGCAGTGGTTGGTGGCACTACTGCCATACTAAAGGAGTTTGGTTTGAATCCTGAAGAAGGCATGGATGTTTGTGAGTGAGGGGATGCTCAAAATAGACATCAAGTCAAAATCCTCTTGAGAGGATTAGTGGTAGGGAAAGAGGGGTGGAAGTTTATCAGTTAGCAAGTCCCAGCGATATGGGCGGAAATAAATTCTAAATGAAGGATTCAAATTATTAGAGTCGACTACAGAATTTTGAATGATAAATTCACCAAACTAGAAAAATTAAATAGCAAATTAACCAAGTTACATCAAGAATTTTTTTAACATTCTATTAGACGATCAGAAAATGACTCAAAGCATATTAGATAGGGAATCCGAGCAAGCAAAAGAATATTCCGATTTCCTTCCCCATCAACCAGGTATTCTGATATATTTAATACTATCAGAAGATTAGTAAAAGAGAAACTGTTTATGATTTGTCAGGCCTAGTTAAATAAGATTCATCTAGTGGGGGTAATAGGAGAAATGAAATGAAACTACCAGAAATTGCTTTAGGGAAATTTGATAGTGAACTCTTAAATTCTGAGCCATAATGAAAATGATGGTTTAAGTGACTGAAAATTTTCATTTTATCTTCCAGTCTATGCTACCACGCAAAACTGATGTTTTATCATCTCTGGCCACAGTACCGAGTATTCGAGCTAAAGAGCTCATTGATAGTTATCTGGTTACTAGTGGAAATTATGAAAAAGCAATTTTTGCATTACAAAAGATGAATTGGCTATGTGGAACAGTAAATGGAAGTTTAGGTAATGGAATTAATAAAGTAAATTAAAACTTCATTGAACAGAATGTCTGAAATCAAAAGGAAAACTTGCTCTTAACTTGGTTGATAAGTTAGAAGCTCACTTAAGAGCAATATAAACTATGAATGTAATCAAAGTAATGCTCAGATGCTTTTCTCACTTATTGAACCATGCCTATCCCAAGATCTTCCGAAAGTGTGGCACAGAAGTTTGCATAACATAAAGGAGTCAAAAGTGAAAACTTGTGACGAAGCATTCCACTCAAATCGAGTCAGACTCGGCATCTAGCTCAACCGATGGAATTTCTACACAAGGTAGTAGAAAAAGATGAATGTGTGTTATTAGCTTCAAAGAGTTTTTGGCGTGAATTCTGCAGATCCGTCAAAGGATAAAATTAAATATTCAAAAGATGATGGATTTTTTCCATTGAAAAAGAAATTAAATGTCTTATGCAGCAAAATTCATAAAAGCAAAGACTGTTTCATTGTATGTTCTTTATCTTTAAAAGAAAAAATTTTTTATAGAAAAAAGGGGTTGTCTAAAGTCTCTTCGACCTGCTCAAGTAACAAAATTTTGTAAAAGTAAAATATGTTGCCATATCTGTTCTAAAGATCACTTAGTGATGCTTTGTTCCCAGTTAGCACATTACAGGGATAAGAAAAGAAGAGTCAGATAAAGGATGATTTCCTCGAAATGGTGCTGAGTACAAGAACAAGTAGTGAGTGCTCCTGAGATATAACTCTTATGACATTAGTAGTAACTATTCTAGATAGTGAAACAAAATGAATTCTACTGCCAAAGTGTTAAATGAGTTCTACTGCCAAACTGTTAAATCCAAAACCTGTCTCCACTGAAAGTTTAGCACATATCTTATTTGGAGGGGCATATCCTGATGCTCATTAGAAGTTCCATGTTTGACTTTCAAAATTCAAAAGAGGTTCTTGAACTATGAATTTCTGGATCAAGAAGGTATTTGTGGTGATATTCTTTGTGTTTCAAAAACTCACTGCTATCAGAACTTAAAACAAAATAAAATTAGTTATCTCATTTAGGGACTGTTTTTACAAAAATCGAGCTGTTAATAGGAAGTAATGTGTATGGGAGACTTTCAACAGAAAGAATCAAACAGTTGCAGAAAGAATTAGGGCAGTAGAAACTAAGTTAGGTTGGATGGTTTGTGGTCCGGTTAAGAGTTCTACCCTAGGGGCATTGCATACACAGACCTGTATAATCAACTTGGCTATTGGAGAAATGAAAGTGCAAGAACTTTGGAAAATGCACCATTGGAATGAGGGTCCAGTACACACATTATCCAGGAAAAGAGAGGAAGAATAAGTTTAATGAGATCTTTCTGGAAGATGTAAGTCAAAATGTTGATGTTCTAATTATAGAGTGAGTCTTCCATGGATTCATAAGAATAGATTGGATATTCCATCTAATCAATATATTGCTGAGAGAAGACTGTCGAATACTACTAAGAAACTGATAAAGACTCTGAACAAGTTGGATGATTGCAATAAGTGTTTTTTCTTTTCTTTTCCAGAATGGTTAGTGTAGGGTATTTAGAGGGAGTACCAAGAGAAAGAATAGAAATAAAAGGGCATTTCCTTCCCCATCAAACAGGTAATCAAAATGGACAGTGTAACGACAAAAATTAGACCGGTTTCTAATACATCTTCCAAAATAGGTCGAAATCCGTCTCACAACGACTGTCTTTTAAAGAGTCTAAATCTCATTGAACAGATACCATCCGTTCTGCTGAGATTTAGGTGAAAAAACTAGAAGAGTTTTTTCTGACATTGTAAAGACATTAGGATTTTTTGGAAGCTGGAAAGATGAAAAATTAGCAAACGCCTTCGCCGGGAATCGAACCACGGACCTCTGGAATACCGGCCCAGCGTGCAGAACCACTACTCGACGAAGGCACGCTAGGAAGGCGGGAGAAATACATTATAACATAAAACGAGCTTTTCTGCAAATAGAAGTTAAAATGGAACATAAGTACTGCTTAAGATTTCTGGAGCAGAGAAATGAAAATCAAATTTAAGAGTTTCAGCATAACAGAAGTAGTATTTGGAGCTTCTTGCAGTCCACTTTTGTTGGGAGCTGTTGTTCGCTACCATTTTGGGAGAATGAAAATATATTGCAGAAAAATTACCGAGATCCTTTTTATGTGGATAACTATATTTCACCCACAGAAAATGAGGCTAGGCTGAAAGACTTCGTTGTAAACACTACTGAAATTATGGTCAAAACCAAAATGGATTTAAGAATGTCGAAATTTAGCTCCTGCAACGAAATTAGTTCTGAGTTCTCACTGAGCTGGAAGTCTTCATTGCAGGAATTCTTGCATTGAACAGGAACTCTTCACTTCCTGTACTTGGTCTAGTGTGGGACAAGAAAAATGAGAGTTTAAGAAATAGTACTGAAGAATTCTAAGTCTTCGAAGGAAGGAATCTTGTAACTAACTTTGAGTATTTTTTATCCAATACGATACTTTGTCCCTGCGTTACTACCATCTAAAATACTGATACAAGGGGCTTGGACGCTGAAATCAGAATGGGATGTTCCTCTCCGAGATAATATCAGTCAATATTTTTGAAGTAGTACGATGAAATTGAGCTAGTACAGAGTATAAAATTACCAATAAAAGTAGGATTTGGAACCTGAAGTAGTTAGATGCTGTATGCATTTTGCAATGCAAGAAAACATGCGTACGCGACAGTGATCTACGAGCGATACGAAAAGAAAGATTTATCGCA